GCCTCGTCCCATCCTTTCAATCCCAGCGGGCAGCCTTGTGGGGGTTTGAACAGCCGGTTCCGCTTCCATAATTCTTCGATAAGCCAGGGCCGAGCCAGCTCCAATCAGCAAGAACCCTGTTATCATGGTTCCCAATAGGTAGATATCTTCAGCAGTCAGGCTCACCCGAGCCCAGACTTCTCGTTGAGAAGGGGTGTCAATTGCATTCAGAGACCAGTTGATCAAATCCATAATTCCTCTCTTAGGTTTTAGAGAACAGACTGTGAGAGTGTTCCAGGTAAAAGTAAGTAAAAACACAAGACAAGACAAGGACATAAGAAGCTAAGCAGGGAAGATAAGGGCAGGAGAGGAGAAAAGTGCGACCGCCTTCGCTGAGAGCCAAAAGAGATGTATAGTTGTATATAGTTGTCAAGCTGGTGTTTATGAATTCCATTAAAGTGTACAGAGGAGCTGGGTTGTGTTACGTCGCTCCATACATGTGCACCCCTGAGATATTGGCGACATTGTTGCTTTGGGATTTAATCCAATTTCAGAGAAAAGATAAATGTCTCGAACTGCTGATAAGCTTGTAGTTTGATGGATGAAGATGCTCGAGTTGACAACATCCCGGTTTGATCGCAGCCTTGCTCTGATTTAAAGTCTTTCTATTTATGTGTCTTTATCAATTACTGCATCGGTTTGTCAGCACTCCAGACAGCTCTCATCAAATACATCCGCTTCCTGCACCTGGAAGCAGAACAAATCAGAAGTTTCTTTTTCTTTTTTTTTTCTCTGTTTGCATTAAAGAAGAAGCTAGAAGTGATTTTTCCCCCCCACCTAATTCTGCAAGTCGTATGGATCCGACTGGCTGCTTTAATAAAAACTGAAAGCACCCTCCTATTTTCTGTCTGCAAAGCTGAAGGGGATCCCACAGAGTTCAGAGTTACTGCAGGTAAAGTTCCTTTGTAAGTGTGAACAGCTTTTGTTTCAAGGAAATTGATGGAAATGTGGAAGAGGAAGGAAAAAGCAATGTTCAATCATAGATGTCTCACTCTGCAATATACCTGATCTTCATAAGTAAGCCTCTGCAAGTTGTGTATAGTTCAGAAAGGAAGGTTCACTTTTTATTATCTAATTTCCCTGTGATTTACTGAGGATACAGCAGGTAGGCACATTCGATAAGTCTTTGTTATTCACTGGAACACTGTGGTAGAAGGAAAATCCTGTTGGTGTCCCGGCTGTATTACTAGTCTACACATGCACCTGTGGTTCCACACCATTTTAAACATAGGCAATTTTGATGTTATTGTTGTTTCGGTGTGCTGCCTCTTTCTTTCCAGAATTCATAAGTCTGACCCAGTTCAAGAGCATATGAGGCACTGCTGGGCAAGATAATGATGGCAGCCTGTAGTGTGACTGCTTTACGCCTTTGCCTGCTAAGGTGACAACGCCGCTTCCCACACCTAGCGATGCTCTCAATTATTTTCTGAGGCCACAGATGTTCATGAGACCCAAAATTCCAGTCCAAGTACAGGCCCAAATCTTTTACTCTGAGCCTTCACTCAGTGTTAAATATCCAGTGTAAAGAGTAAGCTTAAGTCCATAATAGTATGGCCACATTTACCGTAATGAGCATTTCTATTTAACATACTTTAAAACAACATCGTTAATCTTCACTGTAAACCACAGCAGAAGGTTACATCTGTGTCAATAAGTGGAAAAACAAGATGTGTTCAAACCGAGATATATGCATGTTCAACAACAAGGTTACTACAAGCTTTTGCTGCTCATTACACTTAACTGACTCTGATGATTTGTTAGGTATCGTGGTTATTCACGCCATACGTTCACCTTAACACAAATCAGTGTTATAAAGGAACAGGGGAGGAATATTCATAATGTTTCATTACTTGTCAAGTAAACTCTTAAAATGTTAAAGATAACTTTTACATTTCGTGACTCTTCTGCAACCTCGAGAGTGACTCACGGATTCTACTGCCAAAGTCTGGCTGAAGCTCATTATTGCATAACCACATGAATATTCATATTCCCACTGATGACTCTTTGTGTGCATGTTGCTGTGCATAAATGTGTGAAAATTTATTGGCATCCATACACACACATACAAACAGAAGATAAGCTCGGCACAGACACGTTCCTGAGGCTTCTGTCTTTTTAAGGCCCTTCTTTGATCGTGATCGTGCGCATTCATGTATTTCCAAAATCTGATCACCGTCCAAACCCTAAACTTTCAAATTCGATGTATTTGGAAGAACTGTCAGGAACCCAAACTAAACATGACAGAATAAAGGAAAGATCGATGACAGACAT